ATACGTCGGCTCAGGCCTCACACACCTTCACCCTTGACTCGGGTGCTTCCCGCTCCTTCTTTCGAGACCGCACCACACTTACGCCGCTTAGTCGGCCGGTTGCGGTCTCCCTGGCGGACCCCTCTGGGGGTCCTGTCCTTGCTAGCTTCTCCACTGTCTTACTGTACACGGCAGCCCCCTCTGGCACACTGTCAGGTCTCTACCTCCCCTCGTTCTCTACGAACTTGGTGAGTGGAGCTGATCTACAGGATAGGGGGGTTGACCAGTTCACTCCTGCGAGTCAGCGGGTGACCCACTGCACGTTTGCTCGGACAGGCCGACACTTGGCCACGTTCACCCGTCGGCCGGGGTCGACCTTGTACACACTTACTACTGAGTCTCCTCCAGCTACTGAGTCTAGTCAGGTAGCTGCGTCGAGTCAGGTGTTTGCTGCAGCGTCCAGGTCTGGTCCTGAGTCTGCTCCCTGCTCGTGTCGTCTCCTGTCCCACCAGACTCTCCTTTGGTACCACCGCCTTGGTCACCCCTCCCTGCCTCGTCTCTGAGGCATGGCATCCCGTGTCCTTGTCTCTGGTCTCCCCCGGTCTCTCGCTCCCCTACCTCCGGGGCCTGCCCCTATCTGCGTCCCCTACGTCGAGGGGCGACAGCGCGCCGCCCCTCACTCCTCCGAGTTTCCTCTGACAGAGGCTCCTCTGCTGACTCTCCACATGGACGTGTGGGGCCCCGCCCGCGTCCGTGGCCAGGGCACGAGCATTACTTCCTGTTGGTGGTTGACGACTACTCGCGTTTCACCACAGTCTTCCCCTTGCGCAGCAAGGGTGACGTCACTGAGGTGTTGATCGACTGGATCCGCGCAGCTCGTCTCCAGCTCAGAGAGATTTTCGGCTCGGACTTTGTTGTTCTGCGTCTGCACTCTGACAGAGGCGGGGAGTTTTCCTCTGCCCGTCTGGGAGCCTTCTGTCGAGCACAGGGCATCCGCCAGACCTTCATGCTTCCGGCCTCTCCACAGCAAAATGGGATTGCTGAGCGCCGCATTGGCATGGTCATGGACGTCGCTCGTACGTCCATGATCCATGCGGCTGCCCCCCATTTTCTGTGGCCGTTTGCGGTTCAGTACGCAGCGCATAAGCTCAACCTTCTGCCCAGGGTCTCCTTGTTAGAGACCTCCCCCACCTTGCGGTGGACGGGGAAGGATGGCGATGCGTCTGCGTTTCGGGTCTAGGGATCTCGGGCGTTTGTCCGCGACTTGTCTGCGGACAAGCTGTCCCCCCGTGGTGTTCCCTGCGTCTTCCTTAGCTTCCCCCTTGACACGCCAGGTTGGCAGTTTTACCACCCCACCTCGCGCCGTGTTCTGTCCTCCCAGGACATCACCTTTGACGAGTCGATGCCTTACTACCGTCTCTTCCCCTTTCGCACTGCTCCCCTCCCCCGCCGCCGCTCTTCCTTGCGCCAGGTCCTCCCCCAGTAGACCCCCTCCCCCCTCAGGGTCCTGCCCCGTCAGGTGTGTCCCAGGTAGACGCAGTCGAGCCTGTCGAGGTAGCTGTTGACTGTGGTACTGCTAGAGGTGCTGAGCCTGCAGGTGTCGGGTCTGGGGGTGCTGAGTCCAGGGGTGCGGAACCTGGGGGTGCTAAGCCTGGGGGTGCTGAGCCTGGGGGTGCTTAGTCTGGGGGTGCTGAGCCTGGGGGTGCTGAGCCAGGGGGTGAGGAGCCTGGGGATGCTGGGTCTGCTCGTGTCTCGTGGTGCTTCGTCGAGGCGGGAGCCACTCTCTCCGCAAGAGCTGCGCGAGTGGTTTGCCCGGCGCTGAAGCTGTGCTGCTCGAGCTGGAGGTACTACTGTTGCAGCTGGTCACGGAGGTGCTCGTACTGGCGGTACTGGAGCTTCCGGTCCTACTCGAGTTGGTACTGCTGGAGCTGCTAGAGCTACTGGTGCTGGAGCTGCTGGGACTAGGGGTGCTGCTGGGGCTGCTGGAGTTAGTCCTGCTGGTGGTACTGCTGGAGCTACTGGCGGTGCTGGAGCTGGAGCTCCTGGAGCTGGAGCTGTTGGGGGTGTTGGCGCTGGTGGTTCTGCTGGCGCTAGTGCGTTTGAGGGTGCTGGAGTTGGCGCTGTTGGAGTTGGGGTTGCTTCTAGTACTGGTGCTGCCGTTGGGGGTACTGGTGCTGTCCCTGCTGGTTCTGGAGGCGCTGCCCGGCCGCAGCCGTACTTCGTTTTGCTCCTTGAGCAGGTTCTTGGTCTCCCGCCCTCTACTGGTCCTGCTCCTCCCTTAGAGTGTCCACAGCCTGTTCAGTCGTAGTCACAGTTACCGCCCGCCTCCCCCCTACCTGCTCCTTCTCCCTACACTGGTCCTACTGGAGGTCTTGCTGAGCGTCGTGAGCCTGCGTCTCGTCCTGCGTCGCCTGTTTGTGCTGCTCGCACTAGTCGTCGTGTTCCGCGTCCGCGTCCTCCTGCGGTCCCAGGCACACACCAGATGGCACTGCGTCTGTCCACTACTCCTCTGCATGTCCTGTTGTCGTCTCCTCCAGAGTCCTCTCTTCCTGTCCTTGCTGACCTGGAGTCTGACTCTCTTCGTACTGCCAGTCCTACTGTCACGCGTCTCCTGGCTACTGTTGTCACTGACCCTTCCTTTGAGTCCACTGCTGCGTCGGCCCTAGTTGCTGAGCTTGTCGACTTTGCTACTCGCTGTCGTCTAGACTACGCTGCTAGTCTTGTTGCTGAGTCTGAGTGTGTCTGTCCTCCGTCCGTCGGGGGTGAGTGTGCTCTTAGCACGGACGTCCTTGAGGACAGGCACGGTCGTCCAGTGCTTTGCTGCTGCTTTGCCCCATCTCGTGTCCACGCTGATCGCCCTTGAGGGAGACCCGGATGCACCAAACATCCCGACTCCTCGATCGTACGCTGAGGCGATCGAGGGTCCCTACTCCTCTCAGTGGCAGTCAGCCATGGACGTGGAGATGGCTTCTTGGAAGTCCACAGGCACTTACGTCGACGAGGTTCCCCCACAACATCCGCGTCCGCAATTGCGGCCACATCCGCGGGCACAACAACATCGGCATCCGCTTTCGCCTCCTCTTTCGTCCTCGCTTCTGCATCCACCTCGTCGTCAGCCTCCGCATTCGCATCTACCGTCGCTCCCGTTGCATACGCCGCTGCCTTTGCGTGCTCACCATCAGCATCAGCACCCTCGTCGTTGTCCGGATCACCAGCCCGCCACTCTTCCACTTCGTCGTCACTCCCAACCAGCCGATTCCACCATTCGTCCTCGTCGATGTTGGCAGGAGCTATTTCATCCCCTGAAGCGTTGTCGTCGTGGCTGTTCTCCGGCCAATGCTCCTTGTCGTCGTCGTCGTGTTCTTCGTCGCCGCCGTCCCCGTCACAGCTCGCATCGGAGGCGGCAGTAGATGTTCCTGCCTTTCGCGTATTCTTCGCCATGTCTACATGGATGTCATCACCGGGCGAGTTAATTTGCCCGTAGTTATTTACCTGCACGTGAGGGCGAGGTGAGGACGTGCCTACGGGGACTTTGCTGTGCATGGTTAAGCCTGCCGAGAGCAAAGGTTGAGTTGAGATCTCTACCTCTTTGAGCACCAAATGAAGCTCAAGCCGACTACCTTCCCCAGCTAGAGTGTCCCTTCCAAAGGTGCCGAGCCGCTCCTCTACGAGGAATCTCCTCGTAGAGGACAGCCCTCACGCTGCCATCGTGCTGCCAGCAGCGTTCTAGAAGCATCCATGCGGTGCTGGCTGCAAAACGACGCTGGCAGCAAAACGACGCTGGCAGCATTATTAGATGCTACCAGCACGGAGTGATGTTGCCAGCAGTAGCAGCTTTGCTGCATCCCCCATGTGGCAAGTGGAGGCGCTGCATGCATCACCACCAAGGTCATCCTGTTTCAATGAATTTGGCCCCTGGGTGGTTTCTATACACTTTCCAAATGATGTAGAGTACTTATATATTTTTTTCCACTTATAAGACTTATAAGACACCCTAAACCATCCCAAATACAAGATAACTCAAGAATTTTGAGCAGTGTACGAGATAAGACATACATGTCTACTATCCGAGCGATGACAGTATTTATTGGTGCCTCAAACCATTTGCAACATGCTGCAGCAAGGCTACAAGGCAAGGAGATGTGTGAGCTTCCAGTGAGTCGAGGTTGAAGAGGCGGTCAAAGGAGAGAGATGGAGGACCTGAAGGGGGAAGGGTTGAATGGAGAGAGGTACAGATGGTAACACCTTATGGGCATGAGAAAGGGAGGCGAGGGAAAGTGAGGGGGGGTGGTAGAGGACTTGAGGGGGGAAGCAACAAATGGAGAAAACGACGCGGAGAGCTTATTTTCCATTCGTCCCTTACTTATAAAACAGTTACAAGCGATTCTGGGAGGTAAAGGATTTGAGGATGGAAGCAGGGAAGGGGAGATAGAGCATATGGCAACACAAAATGGTAATGAGAAAGTTGGATAAGAACATTTGACAGGGTGTGTTCATGTTTGTGTGCATGTGTGTGCATGTGTGTGCATGTATGTGCAAGTGCATTAGTGCTGCTCGTACACATATGAGGGTTGAGTGCATGTGGTGTATGTGTGAGTACAAATGTGTGTGTGCGAATGTGTGTGTGTGAGTGTGTGTGTGCGAATGTGTGTGTGTGAGTGTGTGTAGGTGAGTGTGTGTAGGCGAATGTGTGTGTGCGAGTGTGTGTGTGCGAGTGTGTGTGTGCGAGTGTGTGTGTGCGAGTGTGTGTGTGCGAGTGCGTGTGTGCGAGTGTGTGTGTGTGAGAGAGTGTGTATGTGCGAGTGTGTGTGTGCGAGTGTGTGTGTGCGAGTGTGTGTGTGTGTGCGAGTGTGTATGTGTGTGCGAGTGTGTGTGTGTGAGTGTGTGTGTGCGGGTTCACGCAATTGCTAGCACTTGGATTGCGTACACGCGTGCAAGAATGAGTGCGTGCATGCATGGACGTGCGCATGTGGGCTACATGCATGCATAAAGCTGTTGCATGCGAGCATGTATTAGTGCACCTAGGAATGGAGGAGAGGGGAGAGAAATGCGCTCACCACTTTCTGATCATCCCCTCCGGTGGCAATGCAGGCATCATCGGGTGCCACTGCCACCTGGTCATGGAGGGAGGGGGAGGAAGAGCAAAGAATAGGCTTTTGAGACGCCTCAAAAGGCAATGCAGGCGTCACAGGGTGGCCCCGCCACCTGCCATGCAGGGAGGGGGACGCCAAAGCAACAGCCTTGTCAGCCACTGCAAAATATGCCCATGGAGGGAGAGAGAGGGGCAACGTATAAGTTCTAGGCTGAACCAGTCTAGAATAAGTGTAATTGAAAAGGATGCACAGGGCAATCCTCACCGAATACAGGAAATACACAAAGTTACGGTACGATCATACGGCATGTGGACTGCTTTATAGTGTTGATAGATCGAGTGTGTGCGAAGGAGAAGGCAGTGAGGGGATCAGCCAAAGAGACGTCCCACACAGCCACACTGGCATGGGGAAGGGGTGAGGCAACGGGGCAGGAGAATCAAGAGAAGCAACGCAAAGTAAGAAGAACAGATGACCGAGGAAGGTTCAAGGAGAGGGCAGTGAGTGGGTCGGGCAGATTACCGCACTGCCACACTGCTGTGGGGAAGGGGGGATTGAAGGGACGGCGGATGAACAAGGGAAGGGCTGCAGGGTAAGCAGAATACATGATTGATCATTGAGCCAGTTGAAAGAGAAGGCAGTGAGGGGATTGGCTAGAGTGAGGTCCCTGCCATAGGAGGGGGCAGGGAGAAGGGTGGGGAAGATGGTGACTTTTGAGTTGACTCAAAGTCACCTCTTTAAATCCCATACAGCCACGCTGCACAGGAGGAGACAGGGGGGAGGGTGGGGAAGGAGGTATTGTTACGCTGACAGCTTGGTAGAGTATGGCAGCGATGGGTGGGGCAGGGGAAGGGGAATGGGGAGGGGGAGGGGAGGGGGAAGGGGAAGGGGAAGGGGATGGAGAAGGGGAAGGGGAAGGGGAAGGGGAAGGGGGAAATGGACCCTCTCTAAAAGATGCTCACGGGGATTTGGAAGGGTGACAGCATGGCAGGGCATGGCAGGATGGCACAGCAAGACATTCCCACCTGCCATTGTCACTGCCTCTCACACGCTACCATGCCAGCGTGGCAGAGCATACCAGCGTGGCAGAGCAATCCCACCTGCCATTGCCAGTGGCAGTCACGAAGCCAGGCGAAGCAGAGAGCCACCTGGCATCATTGACCCCTTCGTCCCCACAATCCACAAAGCTGGGTGGGGGGAAGAGTGTGTGTAAGGTAGGGTTGGGAGAGGAAAGGGAGTGGAAAGAGGCGCGAGACAAAGACACATTCGGTGTCGTTCATCCCACTTCCCCACAATCCACAACACTGGGGGGTGAAGAGTGTGTGTGGTAGATGGCGAGAGGAGATAAGGCAATCAAGAGGGTTAGGTACCAGACCATGTACCATGCACCATACACCATGCGCCATGCACCATGCACCATACACCATACACCATGCGCCATGCACCATGCACCATGTACCATACACCATACACCATACACCATGCGCCATGCACCATGCACCATGCACCATACACCATACACCATGCACCATGAACTGTGCTCCATATACCATGCACCATGCGCCATGCACCACACAACACACAACGCACACCACACGATGCACTCACCCCCCCTCCCCTCCCTCCTCTCACCCCGCTCTCCGCATGCTCCAACCAAACCACAAGTGCGCACAAGCGTGAACAAGTGGGGTTGGCTTGGCACCACACCACACCAGACTACACCACACCACACCACACCACACCACACCACACACGCCCCACGCATACATCCCCCAACCCCCAACCGCCACCTCTCACCATCCCCATCTCACCGTGTGCACTAACGGCATGGGTGGGCCGTGGGAGAGGCAGAAGAGAGCGCGCAGAGAGGGGGAGGGGCAGGAGGAAGAGGAAGGGGGAGCGGACGAGGAGGAGGGGGGAGCAGCAGCGGAGGAGGAGAAGGAGGGGAGGCAGCGGGATCTATCACACGGGCTTAACGCTGCTGACGTCACCTGAAGGGGTGTGCGGGGGGGTGGAGTGGAGGTGGGGTATGGGGCGTGTGGGAGAAGTGACAGGGAGTGAACAGAGACGAGAAATACGGGATGGCGATCGAGAGGAGGGTGCAGTGCTGTGAAGGAGGACGGGAGGGAGCAGGAACAGCAGTTGGTGGAGCAAGTGGCATGGAGCAGTTAAGGGCTGAACGGTGCTGGCGTCAGCTAATGGGGTGCGCTAGGGAGGAGAGACGTCAGATTTAATATTCCCCCTTTCATTGATATAGGCCATCTCACTCTCACCATCTCTTTTCCCCTCTCGCATTCACTCCCTTCACCTCGCAATTGCTCCCCAGGGAGAAGCGAGAGACAGCCTTGTGCATGCGCGAATCAAAGAGAGCCACACCGCCATCCCTCCCTATACCTCCCATCACCCCCTCTCACCTGCCTTCCCCTCGCCCCTCTGATCCCTCTCACCTCAAAACTGCCTCCCAGTGAGAAGCGAGTGATGGCCTTGTGCGTGCATGAATCAAAGAGAGCCACGCCGCCATCCCCGCCGCCTGCAGGCGGTTAGGCAGAGAGAGAGAGAGAGAGAGAGAGAGAGAGAGAGAGAGAGAGAGAGAGAGAGAGAGAGAGAGAGAGAGAGAGAGAGAGAGAGAGAGAGAGAGAGAGAGAGAGAGAGAGAGAGAGAGAGGGAGGGAGCGCAGAAGCACATGTGGTGGGAATGCAATGTGTGGGTGGGATGGAAGCACCATGGTCGGAGGTGGCATGGGCTGTTTAACAGGCGAGTCACGGCCTTGTGTACGTGCGTGAGTAAAATAAAGTCACTCTGCCTTATCCACCACCTGCAGGTGGGCAGGGAGAGAGGGATAAGCAGAGGGAAAGGAAGAGGGGGAAGTGAACTAAGTGGAGAGGAGAGGTATGCAGTGCGGGGATGGAATGTAGGCATGGGACAAGTGGTGAGGATGGGTGGCATGTGTGGTGGCATGTGTGGTGGCATGTGTGGTGGCATGTGTGGTGGCATGCGTGGCATGGGTGGCATGGGTGGCATGGCAAGAACAGGAGGGAGAGTGCATTCGACACGAGGATGGGAGCAAGCCAATGGAGTTTGGGAATAAGAGCCTCACACGTCTTCCTAGTGGAATGTAGGGGGGCTGGAAGGGAAGCAGAGGACCAATCAAAGAAAGGCCACCAGTACAAGCAAGTCCAATCGCTTCAGGGAAGCCTGGTGAATTGTACGTGTGTAATATCAGAGGAGAAAGGTAGATGAGGGAGGGTAGATGAGACATAGTGGGAGGGAGAGAGGAGCTCACCAGCAACAACGGTTCGAGAGTCGGTGGGGTTGGCGGCCACACATGTTACGAACTGGATGGCGTGGGCGTGGGGGAGAGAAAGAGCATGTTTACGGATGGGAAGACGTCGACATAAGTGACATGAATGGCAGAGAAATTCGACATACGGCATGAGCTCCTCTCGTTTGACACAGTTGGTGGGGTTGGCGGCAACACATAACATGAAGTTAGAGGAAAACGAGGTTGTTTTTCTTACTGAGAAGAAGGCAGGTCATGTGGAACACAGAAGATCCCACTCTGTGTTTCTGTGAATCCCTCAAGATCACCCTGCAGTCTCAAAAATCACCCTTCACTTGGACTGAGGTGAAGGGCAAAGTAAGAACTTCACATACCCTTTACTTGGTGCCAAGTGGACTCACTGAGGAAAAGGCAGGCATGTGGAACACAGAGGGTCCCGCACTGGGAGCAGAGGCACCAGGAGTGGCAGTAGCAGCAGGCGAGGCAGAGGGTGCAGCGGAGGAGGAGGTGGGGCGGGAGGTATCCCAGAGGACGATGGTGGACGGCGCAGATCCCGTGGTATCAGAGCCGCACATGAGCCAGCGCTCGTCCGCAAAGCACAGCGCATCCATTGCCATGGGCACTCGCACACGCGCACTCTGCGTTGCTGCCCTGCTGGGGGTGAATGGATGATGAGACATGCAATGTAAGGCGAGCGAAGCGCAGCGCATCCATCGCCATGCGCACTCGCACCGGGGGAGGTTGCCGTGCTGCCCTGCTGGGGTTGGGGAAGCACATGTATGATGTGATGTCCCGTGCAGTGTCCACACAAAGCAAAACACGGCGCATCTGTGGCCATGCGCACTCGCACCAGGGTATTCTTCCCTGCTGCACTCCCTGCCCTGCTGGGGGTTGGTTGGTTGAGGGGTGAATGGATGATGGGACATGCAATGCGTGGCAGCTCAAATCACGGCGCATCCACAGCCATGCGCACTCGCACCGGGGCACTTGCATTCTTCCTTGCTGCACCCACTGCCCTGATGGGATTTGAATGGGGTGTTTGAACAATGTGTGATGCAGAGTCCACACAGCACAGCACATCCATTGCCATGCACACTCGCACCGGAGCACTCTGGCCAGCTGTTCCCACTGCCCAGCTGGGGTTGGGGAAGCACATGTATGATGTGATGTCTCGTGCAGTGTCCACACAAAGCAAAGCACGGCGCATCTGTGGCCATGCGCACTCGCACCAGGGTATTCTTCCCTGGTTGGTTGGTTGGGGGATGAATGGATGTTGGGACATGCAACGTAGGGCAAAGCAAAGCAAGCAGAGCGCATCCATTGCCATGCGCACTTGCACTGAGGCACTCTGCCTGCCACCAACCAATGTGGCCCGCGCAAGGGTATAACCCCTGGCCCTGCATCCTCCACTGTCCCCGCTGCCCCCCCCGCCCCTGCAGCCCCTCCAGCTCCTAACGTGCCAGCTCCATGGTTGAGTCATAAACCGATTAACAGTGAGGTGTGGGCTAAGACTAAGCAGAGCATGTGATTCCATGGAATGATTCAATGATCATCTGATCAGGCATGTATCTATCAGATGATCAGACGAAAGAAACTGGTCGTTGGTGCTTGAAACAGCTGGTATGGCACCACCGGTAAGAGCTCATGCCAATCAAGGTATGGCTGGCTTGCAAGCTTCAATCCCTATTGAGAATTCTCAAACATGGGCGTGCGCAACACAATACATGGGCGGAGTAGTACTGGGCGGCACAGCACCTGGGCGGCAGAGTGAAGGAGGGGGAGAGGTGGGCGAGGGGCTTGGCTACACGCACGTCCCACAGGATGACCTGCGGGTCCCCACTGGCACCACTGGTGGCTGCTAGGTCTGATGTGTGGTGCAGGGTGGGAAGCAAAGTAGTGACAGGGTGGGGGTGGTGGCGAGGGGCTTGGCTGAGCGCACATCACACCCCATCAAACAACTTTCCCTACCCCTCTTTGCTCCCTTAATCATCACACCCCATCTGCCATCCGCTCCTCATTTTGTCATCCCTTTTTTATGTCAGCTTTCTCGTTGCCCCCTTGGTGACTGCTCTGACTCACGGGAAAGCCGATGGTTAACGGCAAGAGAGCACAGATCTTGTCGCGATGACACGCAATCGGCAGGTTTGCACTGGCAGTGCTGTGGCCGCTGCCTCTGCCACTGCCGCTGCGAATGCCTCTGTTGATATGACAAGATGCATACGTGACCCACATGACAAGATGCACACATGACTCACATGACAAGATGCACACATGACTCACATGACAAGACGCACACATGACTCACATGACAAGATGCACACATGACTCACATGACAAGATGCACACATGACTCACATGACAAGATGCACACATGACTCACATGATAAGATGCAAACATGACTCACATGACAAGATGCACACATGACTCACATGACAAGATGCACACATGACTCACATGACAAGATGCACACATGTCTCACATGCCAAGATGCACACATGACTCACATGACAAGACGCACACATGACTCACATGACAAGATGCACACATGACTCACATGACAAGATGCACACATGACTCACAAGACAAGATGCACACATGTCTCACATGACAAGATGCACACATGACTCACATGACAAGATGCACACATGACTCACATCACAAGATGCACACATGACTCACATGACAAGATGCACACATGACTCACATGACAAGATGCACACATGTCTCACATGACAAGATGTACACATGACTCACATGACAAGATGCACACATGACTCACATCACAAGATGCACACATAAGTCACATGACAAGATGCACACATGACTCACATGACATCTTCTGGTTAACGGCAAGAGCACGGATCTTGTTGCGATGACACGCAATTGACGGGTTCCCACTGGCAGTGGCGGTGGCGGTGGCAGCAACTCCCGGCCCACACGAGTGCAGCAGCAATGCTGACGTGGAGTCCCACACCTGAAGGGAATGGTTGCCACGGCAGGTGGATCGGAAATGCGGTTGATTGACGGTAGGCTTGTAGCCTGCATGGCTGGGCTTGAATGCAGAGAAAGAGTTAAATGCCTTTTGACACGTCTCAAAAGTCAAGCCCGGGCTTGAATGCAGGGCACGCGTGGGATGCCTGAAACCTCGCCACGAGTACACTCGTGGGTGTGGACGGACCGAAACTAAACTGTTTCAAGTATGCTGTCATGTCAAGCCAGCCACCATGGCAAGGGCATGGCAAGGGCATGGCAAGGGCATGGCAAGGGCATGGCAGGGCATGGCAAGGGCATGGCAAGGGCATGGCAAGGGCATGGCAAGGGCATGGCAAGGGCATGGCAAGGGCATGGCAAGGGCATGGCAGGGCATGGCAAGGGCATGGCAAGGGCATGGCAAGGGCATGGCAAGGGCATGGCAGGGCATGGCAAGGGCATGGCAAGGGCATGGCAAGGGCATGGCAAGGGCATGGCAGGGCATGGCAAGGGCATTGCAAGGGCATGGCAGGGCATGGCATGGCAGTGCATGGTATAAAAAGGCAAGTCCTCTCTCACCTTGAGTGTACAGCCCCCACAATAGAGGATGACGTCACCATCCATGGCGTACTCCACCGCCTGGATCTGCCTTGGTGTAATTCGGTGGGGTGGGGTGGGTAGGGGTGGGGAGGGGTGGGGATGTGATGTGATGGGGATGGGGCACACGGGAAGGGAAATGGGGGAGGGAAGGATTGGGGATGGAATGTTGTCACCATGCATGGCATACCCCACCGCCTGGATTTGATGACATGGTGTGATGTGGTGTGGAGTAGTGGGGTGGGGTGGGGTGGGGTGGGTGGGGTGCATGGTGATGGCAGTGACGATACATGGCAAGAGAGCAATGGGGAAGATGATGGCGTGATCATCCATGGCACACTCCACCGCCTGGATCTGATGCCGTGGTGTGATGCGGTGGGGAGGGATGGGTTGGGGTGGGGTGGATAGTGTGGAATGGTGCGGCGTGGTGTGTTGTGGTGTGGTTTGTGGTGCACTGTGTGGTGCTGTGAGGTGATGTGATGCGGTGGTATGCATTGGGACGGCGCCCCAAGGAATATGAGGTGGGGCGGATAGGGGATACCAGTGAGGGTTCGTGGGGGGAGAAGGTGATAAAACACTGGCACACAAAACAGGCGTGCGCTTGGTGGGGTTAGGTACACACCTGACAGGCGTGGCCTTGCAGGGGGCGGTGGGAGCCGGAGGAGAGGTCGAAGAGGAGCAACTCGTTCGGGGCCTGGTGGGATGGTGGGGCAGGGGGCAGAAGGGTTATTAGAGAAGGTCATGGTGATCGTATGTGTTAGGGTATTCGCTTACGGTCGCAAGCGCAAAAGAATTATGTCTCAAAGGGCGATTGTTATCGCTGGCAAAGAGAAGAAAGGTGAGGAAGAGGAGAGAAGGAAGGAGAATGAGAGGATATTGCACCTGTTCCTTACACAAAGGAGAATGCGATGAAAGGGAGGGAACGCGAGGAAAGGCGCACCTCATTGCAGCCAATGACAAGACAGGCTGAGTCTGGCCTGGTATGGAGCGAGTTCACTTTCCAGTCGACTCAAAAGTCGACAAAGTGTGATGATTATTGCAAGCAACCGTCATGAGAGGCGCACACGCACCTCATTGCAGCAATGAGGCATGCCCTAGTGACCAGATGAGGCCTGCCCCTGGGGTGGAACCGAGTTGAATTTCGAGTCGACTCTTCGAAGTCAACAAGTCGTCATGTTTGTTGCAAGCAACTGTCATGTCAGGCGCACCTTTGAGGCGCCTCAAAAGTCACCGCTCACTTCGTTGCAGCCAATGACAAGCTGAGGCTGGCCCCTCGGATGGAAGCGCGCATCCAATACCTTCTGCACTGCCAGCTGGCGACCAATAGCATGCATGGATGATGACGTGTAAGAGATGACATGATGACGTGTTACACAACATACAATTCCACAATCACACCATACCACATCACACCACAGACCACAGTGCAGGCTGTGAGGGAGAGTGGACTGTAGATAGGACGACACATGTTGGTGTGGATCTTTGGAACTTTCCAAGGCAACATGATGATGGATGGGGAGTGGATGTGATATGATGTGATGTGATGTGATGTGAGGTGACGTGATGTGATGTGATGTGATGTGATGTGACGTGACGTGACCTGATGTGATGTGATGTGATGTGATGTGATGTGATGTGATGTGTTGTGATGTGACGTGACTTGACGTGACGTGACGTGATGTGATGCGATGCGATGCGATGTGATGTGATGTGATGTGACGTGACGTGACGTGACCTGATGTGATGTGATGTGATGTGATGTGATGTGATGTGATGTGATGTGACACACCATTGGTAGTAGCACACAAGGATAGTGCCTGCATACGCATCCCACCATCCTAATGTCCGCATAACCTGCGAGTCGCTTGGCGTTACATATCAACAGCGCTGAATTCGCGTAGCGGTTAGTATTAGTCATCTAAAAAATATTATTTCGCTCCCTCCTCGCAGTATCTCGTCTCCTCGTACTCGCGTTCGCTTCTATATTTTTTCACAGCAGTAGCACATGGTTGTTCGTATTAGCTAGTAGTAGATAATAGTATCATTGAAGCCCACTTTCTCGCTCTTCCGTAGCACCGACTCCCGCTGCCACATACTCCTCACACACCGTGACAGCGGTAGTACCACTAGTACTAGTATTAGTAAGTAGTGGCCGTACTAATAGTACTAAACCGTGTTCACCTAGAATTGCCGCCGGACCAACGTTGGCGACCAACGTTCCACACAATCTTCACGACCACTCGCCTCAATATGCGACGGCCTGAGCTTAGCGCGCGGTTTAAATCCTCCGTTCGACTGGCGCCTTTCGCGGTCATCTAAATTACCACCATTAGTTTCGAACTAGGTCATGTGTCATGCGTGCCGCTCTTGTCGGGCTTAGTGGAGCAGGGGCGGTAAGAGAGGTTGCCAAGAAGCGCGCGCGCTGCGCGATGCCTCTCGTTCGTCAACGCGGCCATCCTCTCGCTCTTTGTGGCCACCTACCGCCTGCTGTTGCTGCGTTGCTACTGCCGCTGCTCGTTCAAAACGAATTAGAATTGGAGAGCATGGCAGAAATCACCAGCTTCTCATGGCTCATCATGCGAGATGGGACTGGCTGGTCCATGGCATCATCATGGCATGGCAGCTAGCACCACCTCCGTAACATCCTCTTGCCCTTCCCCTCACCTTTTCTGCCTCAGCTATTCTGCCTCTCTCTCGCCCTCTCCGCCCTTGCCAGGTTCGGGTTGGACAGCCGGGTGCGAGGGCATGATGACAGCCGCTGTGAGATTCGACACGACGGCACGGCAGAAAGCACCTGGCTCTGGGTGACTGCGTGGATGCAGCGTCAACCAAGACTGCTGCTGAACTGGCGAGCGACCATGGCGTGGCATGGCTGAAAAGCACCACCCAGTATGTTTCAGCCTTTACCTTCCCTTGCTCCTGGGCTCACAACCCCTGCCCACGCCTCACTTCCCTTGCTCCCTCCCATGGGGCCCACTCACCCGTCGCTTTCCATCCCTTTCCCCTCTCTCCCTATGCTGCAGTTTTGGTCGTGCCAAAACACACCCTTCACCTGCTGTTGCTTCTGCGCGGGATGTTTGCTGCTGTTGCTTTGGGCTGTTTGCTGCCATTGCTTCTGTTCGGGCTGTTTACTGCTGGTTGCTTCTGTTCGGACCATCACTGCTTGGCACTGCTGCTGCCGTCACTGCTTGCTTGCTACTGCTGCTGCCGTCACTGCTTGCTTGCTAGTGCTGCTGCCGTCACTGCTTGCTTGCTGCTGCTGCTGCCGTCACTGCTTGCTTGCTACTGCTGCTGCCGTCACTGCTTGCTTGCTACTGCTGCTGCCGTCACTGCTTGCTTGCTACTGCTGCTGCCGTCACTACTTGCTTGCTACTGCTGCTGCCGTCACTGCTTGCTTGCTACTGCTGCTGTAGTCACTGCTTGCTTGTTACTGCTGCTGCCGTCACTGCTTGCTTGCTACTGCTGCTACCGCCAGTGCTTGCTTGCTACTGCTGCTGCCGCCTGTGCTTGCTGCAGCTCTGCTGTCACTGCTTGCTACTGCTGCCCTGTCGGTGCTGCCGATGTCGTTGCTTGTGCTGCTGATGTCATTGCTTGTGCTGCCGATGTCATTGCTTGTGCTGCCGATGTCATTGCTTGTGCTGCCGATGTCCTTGCTTGTGCTGCCGATGTCATTGCTTGTGCTGCCGATGTCATTGCTTGTGCTGCCGATGTCATTGCTTGTGCTGCCGATGTTATTGCTTGTGCAGCCGATGTCATTGCTTGTGCTGCCGATGTCGTTGCGTGTGCTGCTACTGCTCACTGATTTGCAGCCCCCGCGCCCTCTCCCCAATCATCCAGTCCTCCGCCTCGTTCCTTCCCCCCCTTGTTGCCCCTTGATGTCCTCCGCAGGTCGTGTGGGCATTCTGGGAAGGAACCTGCCTGGGTCTTTCATGCAGCCTGGCTGCTGCAATTGTCCCTGCTGGGTCAACACATCCAGCACCACAAGGGCTGCAGAAGCAACAGTAGAAGAAACAACATCAGTAGCAGCAGCAAGAATAGCAAGAAAAGCAGCAACAGCAGCACATAGGGTTTTTTTTTGCACTGGGACTAAATTCACACCGCTTTGTCTCCAGTACGCTCGCATGCTGTACAGGAAACTGATACAAGAGGATATTATGCGGAGAAATGAAACACATTGAACCTATCTTGATTGTTGGGATGGCACAAACGGTTCAGAAGCACCAGACGAGCACAACCACGAGTGTTGTACAGTACTCACAGTTGTTTCCGTGATGCTCAAGGCATCCTTGTTTGCAGTAGTCGAGAGGCGGGAGACGGACATCAACGTCACACCTTAGTCAGATTACACCGTTCATCAACACTCGTCACCGCTCGTCACCACTCACGGGCACTCAGCACCACCAATGACCACACACAACGGCCCAGCACCGCTCACTGCCACTCTGAACCACTCTGCAGCACTCGGCACCGCTCAGAGCCGCTCATCACCACTGGACACCTCTCTCAGTCGCTCATCACCCCTCATCACTGCTCGTCACCACTCACGGGCGCTCAGCACCACCATGACCGCACACAAAGGCCCAATACTTCTCATTGCCGCTCTGAACCTTGTTGCAGTACTCGGCACCGCTCAGAGCCGCTCATCACCACTCGGCACCTCTCTGAGTGGCTCATCACTTCTCGTCACCGCTCACAGGCGCTCAGCACCACCAATCATCGCACACAACGACCCATCACCACTCACTGCTGCTCTGAACCGCTCTGCAGCACTCGGCACCGCTCAGAGCAGCTCATCACCACTTGGCACCTCTCAGAGTGGCTCATCACTACTCCTCACAACCCACGGGCGCTCAGCACCAGCAATGACCGCACACAACGGCCCAGCACCGTTGACTGCTGCTCTGAACCGCTCTGCAGCACTCTGCACCACTCACAGCCGCTCAACACCACTCGGCACTGCTCAAAGCCGCTCATCACCACTCCACACCTCTCTGAGCCGCTCATCACCACTCGTCACAGCTCGTCACCACTCACCGGCACTCATCACCACCAATGACCACACACAACAGCTCAGCGCCGCTCACTGCCACTCTAAATCACCGAGAGCCGCTCACAGCCACTCGACACCGCTCCCAACCTAATCAGCGCTCATCACCGCGTGTCACCGCTCACGGGCACTCAGCACCACCAATGACTGCACACAACGGCCCAGCATTGCACTCAACCTCCTCCTCCTCTTCCTCCTCCTCCTCCTCCTCCTCCTCCTCCTCCTCCTCCTCCTCCTCCTCCTCCTCCTCCTCCTCTTCCTCCTCCTCCTCTTCCTCCTCCTCTTCCTCTCCTCCTCCTCCTCCTCCTCCTCCACCTCCTCCTCCTCCTCCTCCTCCTCCTCCTCCTCCTCCTCCTCCTCCTCCTCCTCCTCCTCCTCCTCCTCCACCTCCTCCTCTTCCTCCTCCTCCTCTTCCTCCTCCTCTTCCTCCTCCTCCTCCTCCTCCTCCTCCTCCTCCTCCTCCTCCTCCTCCTCCTCCTCCTCCTCCTCCTCCTCCTCCTCCTCCTCCTCGTCACCTTTGTCCTCGTCCTTGTCACGCGTCGTCCTCGTCGATATATCAATTAGCGTATCGATAATGTTGCCATGCATTGTACCATTCAGATGTATTACATTTACATGATTGGAATTTCCATTTATGCAGCTAGTAATTATGTTCTGTGTGTTTTGTCTTTTCATATTCTAGATTGTTGATTCTTCAACTCAGTAAAAACATATCAAATTAATATGTCATGAACAAAAGCATATTTTACTGTTACCCTGCAAATTTCCAGCTGACGGAAAAGTTGTGCAACGCGGAACCGCGCTTCAAATCGGTACCGCGCTTCAATGTTTTCTCTTTGACAGCGACGCGACACGACTGGTGCTGATCTGATGGAGGAAAAGCACTCTCCTATACCTCTCCCACCAGCACGCGAGCATCACCAGGCGGCGGATCGTGCGCCACGTGGCAGGCGGCGGATTGCGCGCCATGAGAGGCTCGGCACTGCCTGGTGAGAGGCTCGGCACAGCCGGCTGAGAGGCGCGGCGAAGTGCCTTTTCCACGCTGCAGGCCTAGCAAGGTGCCCTTTCCGCGCTGCAGGCACGGCCAAGTGCCTTTTCCGCGCCCCAGGCACGGCCAAGTGCCGTTTCCTCGCTGATTTCTTCCTTTTCCTGCCTTTTCCCGCCGTTTTCCCCTCTTTCCCATGGTTTCCCATGGTTTCCTTCCCGCGGTTTCCCGCGGATTTTGGGGTAGAGATTGCTGGGCAGGTGAGAGTTTGGAGCAGAGATTGCCGGGCAGGTGAGATTTTGAAGCAGGGGTGGCCACGCAGGTGAGAGCTTGAAGAAGAGGTGGGCGGGCAGGTAAGAGTTTCTTCAAGCAGAGGTGGCTGGGCAAGTGAGTGAGACGACTGAAAGATAAGCTGCTGCAGCTGCCAAAGGGTAGCATGCATGTGCGCGTGCTCATGTGAATGTTACATACACAAGTATACTCGTTCGTTCCACGTGCACTTATTCATACGAATCTGCTTGTTCATTCGCCCCCGCAGGTACAGGGGAAGACAGCACGGAGCAAGCGGGAGTTGGAGCAGACTCCAGCGGATCTAAAGCGGGTTCAGGAGCTATACTCGCGGATGGAGGGAGAGAACCGAGCGCTGCCGTTTCCCGCCGTCAACCTAATCCCCTCCCCTTCCTGCGCCTCCACTCCTTTGTGCTCGGCTTCGAGCCGCTCACGTCGCGCAGCTCGCAGCAGTAGCGCACACGCGCTGACGGTTTCAGAGCTCACGCGCCAAATGCGGGACGCGAAGAACGTGATGTGCGCTGCGGACCCGCGCCACGGGCGCTTCTTATAAAACGTGCGTGATGCGACACGCGGCGTATGCAAGAGGCGGCGAAGACAATTGCTAGGGAAACTCGGATAAGGGTGAGAAAAATGCTTCCTCGTTCCGCCCTTGCTCATTCCGCCCTTGTTCGTTCCACCCTTGCTCGTTCCGCACTTGCTCGTTCCGCACTTGCTCGTTCCACACTTGCTCGTTCCGCCCTTGCTCGTTCCCCACTTGCTCGTTCCGCCCTTGCTCGTTCCGCACTTGCTCGTTCCGCCCTTGCTCGTTCCGCACTTGCTCGTTCCGCTTCCGTCATTCTGCCCTTGTTCGTTCCTCCGCCCTTTCTCCTCGTTCCGCCCTCCCCCTCGTTGCGCCCTTCCTCCTCGTTGCGCCCTTCCTCCTCGTTGCGCCCTTCCTCCTCGTTGCGCCCTTCCTCCTCGTTGCGCCCTTCCTCCTCGTTCCGCCCTCCTCCTCGTTCCGCCCTCCGCCAGCCCCTATGCTAAAACCTCTCCTTCCCTCCGTTCACCTCCTCTCCTCGGAAAGGTTGGGGCAGACTCGGAGCGCTCTGGGCATATTTTTGAGGCACCTCAAAAAGGGTTGGGACAGACTTGGAGCGCTCTGGGCAGACCTGTTGAGGCCAGTGAGGTGAGGCCCCTCGCGCTCGCTCCTATTGCTCCTCACTCACTCACGTGCTCTGCTCCCCTCCACTCACCTGTGCTGCACCCTAAACCTCTGCCATGGTTTCTAAACCATCCGCCATGCCGTCACACCTGCCATCCTGCCATCCCTCCCCACCCCGCCTTGCGCAGAAAGGTCTTCTCTCCTTTCTGCGGGGCACCGTGAAGAGACCTTCTCACCCCGCCAAGACACGAGACATACTTACAAGTAGGATATTTATTAGGACATGCACCTTGCTCTTGTTTGTATGGTACTTGTGCGTGTGTCGATATAAGAACGACACGGGGCTTGGGCTAGGCACGGGGTAGGTTTGGGCTAGCCTTGGCCCCTACAAGCCTGGTTACTGTTCCCGCCGCCCGGTTACAGTTCAGGCCGTCCGTCACTGTTCAGGCCGCCCGTCACTGTTCAGGCCGCCCGTCACTGTTTATGCCGCCCGTCACTGTTCATGCCGCCCGTCACTGTTCATGCCGCCCGTCACTGGTCATGCCGCCCGTCACTGGTCATGCCGCCCGTCACTGGCCGTGCCGCCCGTCACTGGTCATGCCGCCCGTCACTGGTCATGCCGCCCGTCACTGCTCGTGCCGCCCGACACTGCTCGTGCCGCCCGTCACTGCTCGTGCCGCCCGGTCACTGCTCCTGCCGCGCGTCACTGCTCCTGCCGCCCCGTTACTGTTCATGCCGCCCGATTACCATGCCATGCCATGTCCTCGTGCTCGTTTCCGCCCTTGCTCGTTTCTGCCGACAGTGACGGGCGCAGCTGGGCAACGGTGCGGCGAGGCTAAGGCGAAGCCAGTGAGGCACGAGGTGAGACAACGGTCCCCACTCTCCTGGCCCCCTTCTCCTATGCTCTCATCTCCTGGCCCCCTTCCCCTATGCTCTCGTTCCTTTGCTCTGCACTCGTCGTTCCCTTGCTCTGCACTCGTCGTTCCCTTGCTCTGCACTCGTCATTCCCTTGCTCTGCACTCGTCGTTCCCTTGCTCTGCACTCGTCGTTCCCTTGCTCTGCACTCGTCGTTCCCTTGCTCTGCACTCGTCGTTCCCTTGCTCTGCACTCGTCGTTCCCTTGCTCTGCACTCGTCGTTCCCTTGCTCTGCACTCGTCGTTCCCTTGCTCTGCACTCGTCGTTCCCTTGCTCTGCACCCGTCGTTCCCTTGCTCTGCACTCCTCCTCACCCCCCTGTTTTCCCATCCCCCACTGTTCATCCTATTGCTTCCCCATCCCGCTCTGTTCACCCCACTGTTTCCCCATCATGCACTGTTCACCCCACTGTTTCCCATCCTGCACTGTTCACTCTCCGCTCTGGTCTGGATGAGGCTCGGAGAGCCATGCTGTCACACCTGCCATCCTGCCACCCCTCCCCACCCCGCCTTGCGCAGGTGGCCTTCTCTCGCTGCAGGGCGCCGTGAAGAGACCTTCTCACCCCGCCAAGACACGAGACACATCTACAAGTAGGATATTTGGAAGGACATGCACCTTGCTCTTGTTTTGTACGGTACTTGTGTGCGTGTGTCTATATAAGAGCTGCGGGGTGGGTGTGGGCTAGGCACGGGGTGGGTTTGGCCTAGCCTTGGCCCCTGCAAGCCCGGTTACTGTTCCTGCCGCCCGGCTACTGTTCATGCCGCCCGGTTACTGTTCCTGCTGCCTGCTTACCTTTCCAGCCGCCTGGTTATCGCTCCAGCCGCCTGGTTACCACTCCACCCACCTGGTAACCGCTCCAGCTGCCCGGTACTGTTCCAGCCGCCCAGTTACTGCTACGGCCACCTTGTTACTGCTACTGCTGCCCAGCTACTGTTCCTGCCGTCTTGTTACTGTTCCAGCCACCTTCTGACAACATGAACAGGAACAGGAACATGAACAGGAACAGGACCAGGACCAGGACCAGGACCAGGATCAGGACCATGCCATGCCAGGGATAGGGGGGGACCATGCCATGCCAGGGATAGGGGGGGACCATGCCATGCCAGGGATAGGGGGGGACCATGCCATGCCAGGGATAGGGGGGGACCATGCCATGCCAGGGATAGGGGGGGGACCATGCCATGCCAGGGATAGGGGGGACCATGCCATGCCAGGGATAGGGGGGGACCATGCCATGCCAGGGATAGGGGGGGACCATGCCATGCCAGGGATAGGGGGGGACCATGCCATGCCAGGGATAGGGGGGGACCATGCCATGCCAGGGATAGTGGGGGCGGTCTGGGGGGCTGTGGGGGGCTGTGAGGAGGATTGGGGGGTAGGGGGGCCTTAGGGGGGCTGTGGGGGGGCTGTGGGGGGGCTGTGGGGGGGCTGTGGGGGGGCTGTGGGGGGGCTGTGGGGGGGCTGTGGGGGGGCTGTGGGGGGGTTTCTTCTCCTCTCTTGTTATTGTCACTCCCTTTGTTGTCCACACTCGGCGTTATACCGTAGTACCACTTTCTGCGATATTATTGTTTCTCTTCCTTTTCCTTCTCTCTTGTACCGTACCGTGTATTATTATTACACTGATAACAAACAGTCCTGCTTGTTTTGTGGCCCTCAATTCCCTTAGGCTTCATTTTTTTTCCTTGAGCAGTGTACGAGATAAGACATATATGTCTACTATCCGAGCGATGACAGTATTTTTTGGTGCCTCAAACCATTTGCAACATGCTGCAGCAAGGCTACAAGGCAAGGGGATGTGTGAGCTTCCAGTGAGTCGAAGTTGAAGAGGCGGTCAAAGGAGAGAGATGGAGGACCTGAAGGGGGAAGGGTTGAATGGAGAGAGGTACAGATGGTAATACCTTATGGGCATGAGTAAGAGAGGCGAGGGAAAGTGAGGTGGGGTGGTAGAGGACTTGAGGGGGGAAGCAGCAAATGGAGAAAACGATGCGGAGATCTTATTTTCCATTCGTCCCTTACTTATAAAACAGGTACAAGCGATTCTGGGAGAGAGGTAAAGGATTTGAGGATGGAAGCAGGGAAGGGGAGATAGAGCATATGGTAACACAAAATGGTAATGAGAAAGTTGGATAAGAACACTTGACAGGGTGTGTTCATGTTTGTCTGCATGTGTGTGCATGTATGTGCAAGTGCGTTAGTGCTGCTCGTACACATATGAGGGTTGAGTGCATGTGGTGTATGTGTGAGTGCAAATGTGTGTGTGCGAATGTGTGTGTGTGAGTGTGTGTGTGCAAATGTGTGTGTGCGAGTGTGTGTAGGTGAGTGTGTGTAGGCGAATGTGTGTGTGCGAGTGTGTGTGTGCGAGTGTGTGTGTGCGAGTGTGTGTGTACGAGTGTGTGTGTGCGAGTGTGTGTGTGCGAGTGTGTGTGTGCGAGACTGTGTATGTGTGAGTGTGTGTGTGCGAGTGTGTGTGTGCGAGTGTGTGTGTGTGTGCGAGTGTGTGTGTGTGCGAGTGTGTGTGTGCCAGTGTGTGTGTGTGCGAGTGTGTGTGTGTGCGAGTGTGTGTGTGCGAGTGTGTGTGTGCGGGTTCACGCAATTGCTAGCACTTGGATTGCGTACACGCGTGCAAGAATGAGTGCATGCATGCATGGACGTGCGCATGTGGGCTACATGCATGCATGAAGCTTTTGCATGCGAGCATGTATTAGTGCACCTAGGAATGGACGAGAGGGGAGAGAAATGCGCTCACCACTTTCTGATCATCCCCTCCAGTGGCAATGCAGGCATCATCGGGTGCCACTGCCACCTGGTCATGGAGGGAGGGGGAGGAGGAGCAGAGAAAAGGCTTTTGAGACGCCTCAAAAGGCAATGCAGGCGTCACCGGGTGGCCGCGCAACCTGCCATGCAGGGAGGGGGACGCCAAAGCAACAGCCTTGTCAGCCACTGCAAAATATGCCCATGGAGGGAGAGAGAGGGGCAACGTATAAGTTCTAGGCTTAACCAGTGTAGGATAAGTGTAATTGAAAAGGATGCACAGGGCAATCCTCACCGAATACAGGAAATACACAAAGTTACGGTACGATCATACGGCATGTGGACTGCTTTACAGTGTTGATAGATCGAGTGTGTGCGAAGGAGAAGGCAGTGAGGGGATCGGCCAAAGAGACGTCCCACACAGCCACACTGGCATGGGGAGGGGGTGAGGCAACGGGGCAGGAGAATCAAGAGAAGCAACGCAAAGTAAGTAGAACAGATGATCGAGGAAGGTTCAAGGAGAGGGCAGTGAGTGGGTCGGGCAGAGTACCGCACTGCCACACTGCTGTGGGGAAGGGGGGATTGAAGGGACGGCGGATGAACAAGGGAAGGGCTGCAGGGTAAGCAGAATACATGATTGATCATTGAGCCAGTTGAAAGAGAAGGCAGTGAGGGGATCGGCTAGAGTGAGGTCCCTGCCATAGGAGGGGGCAGGGAGAAGGGTGGGGAAGATGGTGACTTTTGAGTTGACTCAAAAGTCACCTCTTTAAGTCCCATACAGCCACGCTGCACAGGAGGAGACAGGGGGGAGGGTGGGGAAGGAGGTATTGTTACGCTGACAGCTTAGTAGAGTATGGCAGCGATGGGTGGGGCAGGGGAAGGGGAATGGGGAGGGGGAGGGGAGGGGGAAGGGGAAGGGGAAGGGGAAGGGGGAAATGGACCCTCTCTAAAAGATGCTCATGGGGATTTGGAAGGGTGACAGCATGGCAGGGCATGGCAGGATGGCACAGCAAGACATTCCCACCTGCCATTGTCACTGCCTCTCACTCGCTACCATGCCAGCGTGGCAGAGCATGCCAGCGTGGCAGAGCAATCCCACCTGCCATTGCCACTGGCAGTCACGAGGCCAGGCGAAGCAGAGAGCCACCTGGCATCATTGACCCCTTCGTCCCCACAATCCACAAAGCTGGGTGGGGGGAAGAGTGTGTGTAAGGTAGGGTTGGGAGAGGAAAGGGAGTGGAAAGAGGCGCGAGACAAAGACACATTCGGTGTCGTTCATCCCACTTCCCCACAATCCACAACACTGGGGGGTGAAGAGTGTGTGTGGTAGATGGCGGGAGGAGATAAGGCAATCAAGAGGGTTAGGTACCAGACCATGTAACATGCACCATACACCATGCGCCATGCACCATGCACCATACACCATACACCATGCGCCATGCACCATGCACCATGCACCATACACCATACACCATGCACCATGAACTGTGCTCCATACACCATGCACCATGCGCCATGCACCACACAACACACAACGCACACCACACGATGCACTCACCCCCCCTCCCCTCCCTCCTCTCACCCCGCTCTCCGCATGCTCCAACCAAACCACAAGTGCGCACAAGCGGGAACAAGTGGGGTTGGCTTGGCACCACACCACACCACACCACACCACACCACACCACACCACACCACACCACACACGCCCCACGCATACATCCCCCAACCCCCAACCGCCACCTCTCACCATCCCCATCTCACCGTGTGCATGCTGCACTCACAGCACAGGCGGGAACAAAAGGGTTCAGTGGCACACACAACTCTTTTACTCAATGTACCCACCCACCAACAGCCCGCCTCTCACCCCGCATGCTGCACGGAGTGCTGCACTGATGGCATTGGCGGGCCGTGGGAGAGGATTCAGTGCCACGCACTCACCCCACCTCAAACCCCATGCACCAAACCCTTTCCTCCCCCCCACCCCGCCCCCCCCTCTTCTTTTCCCTTTCTCAACCCGCATGTTGCACTGAGTGCTGCACCGATGGCACGATAGGGCTGTGGAAGTGGGGTCAGTACCATGCGCCATCACCCAAACACACTGCACTGCACCGCACGACACTCACTCACCCCGCATGCTGCACGGAGTGCTGCACTGACGGCATGGGTGGGCCGTGGGAGAGGCAGAAGAGAGGGCGCAGAGAGGGGGAGGGGCAGGAGGAAGAGGAAGGGGGAGCGGACGAGGAGGAGGGGGGAGCAGCAGCGGAGGAGGAGGAGGAGGGGAGGCAGCGGGAGTCGAAGAGGAAGCAGCAGTTGGCCGAGCAGGCAGCGTGGAAAAACCGACCACAGGGGCTGAACGCTGCTGACGTCACCTGAAGAGGTGAGCAGAGGAAAGACAAGAGGGGAATGCAAATGAGAGGAGAGGAGGGGAGACAGCGGGAGTCAAAGAGGGGGAGCAGCAATGGGAGCAGCAGCGGGATCTATCACACGGGCTTAACGCTGCTGACGTCACCTGAAGGGGTGTGCGGGGGGGTGGAGTGGAGGTGGGGTATGGGGCGTGTGGGAGAAGTGACAGGGAGTGAACAGAGACGAGAAATACGGGATGACGATCGAGAGGAGGGTGCAGTGCTGTGAAGGAGGACGGGAGGGAGCAGGAACAGCAGTTGGTGGAGCAAGTGGCATGGAGCAGTTAGGGGCTGAACGGTGCTGGCGTCAGCTAATGGGGTGCGCTAGGGAGGAGAGACGTCAGATTTAATATTCCCCCTTTCATTGATATAGGCCATCTCACTCTCACCATTTCTTCTCCCCTCTCGCATTTACTCCCTTCACCTCGCAATTGCTCCCCAGGGAGAAGCGAGAGACAGCCTTGTGCATGCGCGAATCAAAGAGAGCCACACCGCCATCCCTCCCTATACCCCCCATCACCCCCTCTCACCTCCCTTCCCCTCGCCCCTCTGATCCCTCTCACCTCAAAACTGCCTCCCAGTGAGAAGCGAGTGATGGCCTTGTGCATGCGTGAATCAAAGAGAGCCACGCCGCCATCCCCGCCGCCTGCAGGCGGTTAGGGAGAGAGAGAGAGAGAGAGAGAGAGAGAGAGAGAGAGAGAGAGAGAGAGAGAGAGAGAGAGAGAGAGAGAGAGAGAGAGAGAGGGAGGGAGCGCAGAAGCAGGTGAGGTGGGAATGCAATGTGTGGGTGGGATGGAAGCACCATGGTCGGAGGTGGCATGGGCTGTTTAACGGGCGAGTCACGGCCTTGTGTACGTGCGTGAGTAAAATAAAGTCACTCTGCCTTATCCACCACCTGCAGGTGGGCAGGGAGAGAGGGATAAGGAGAGGGAAAGGAAGAGGGGGAAGTGAACTCAGTGGAGAGGAGAGGTATGCAGTGCGGGGATGGAATGTAGGCATGGGACAAGTGGTGAGGATGGGTGGCATGTGTGGTGGCATGTGTGGTGGCATGTGTGGTGGCATGCGTGGCATGCGTGGCATGGGTGGCATGGGTGGCATGGCAAGAACAGGAGGGAGAGTGCATTCGACACGAGGATGGGAGCAAGCCAATGGAGTTTGGGAATGAGAGCCTCACACGTCTTCCTAGTGGAATGTAAGGGGGCTGGAAGGGAAGCAGAGGACCAATCAAAGAAAGGCCACCAGTACAAGCAAGTCCAATCGCTTCAGGGAAGCCTGGTGAATTGTACGTGTGTAATATCAGAGGAGAAAGGTAGATGAGGGAGGGTAGATGAGACATAGTGGGAGGGAGAGAGGAGCTCACCAGCAACGACGGTTCGAGAGTCGGTGGGGTTGGCGGCCACACATGTTACGAACTGGATGGCGTGGGCGTGGGGGAGGGAAAGAGCATGTTTACGGATGGGAAGACGTCGGCATAAGTGACATGAATGACAGAGAAATTCGACATACGGCATGAGCTCCTCTCGTTTGACACAGTTGGTGGGGTTGGCGGCAACACATAACATGAAGTTAGAGGAAAACGAGGTTGTTTTTCTTACTGAGAAGAAGGCAGGTCATGTGGAACACAGAAGATCCCACTCTGTGTTTTTGCGAATCCCTCAAGATCACCCTGCAGTCTCAAAAATCACCCTTCACTTGGACTGAGGTGAAGGGCAAAGTAAGAACTTCACATACCCTTCACTTGGTGCCAAGTGGACTCACTGAGGAAAAGGCAGGCATGTGGAACACAGAGGGTCCCGCACTGGGAGCAGAGGCACCAGGAGTGGCAGTAGCAGCAGGCGAGGCAGAGGGTGCAGCGGAGGAGGAGGGGGGGCGGGAGGTATCCCAGAGGACGATGGTGGACGGCGCAGATCCCGTGGTATCAGAGCCGCACACGAGCCAGCGCTCGTCCGCAAAGCACAGCGCATCCATTGCCATGCGCACTCGCACACGGGCACTCTGCGCTGCTGCCCTGCTGGGGGTGAATGGATGATGAGACATGCAATGTAAGGCGAGCGAAGCGCAGCGCATCCATCGCCATGCGCACTCGCACCGGGGGAGGTTGCCGTGCTGCCCTGCTGGGGTTGGGGAAGCACATGTATGATGTGATGTCCCGTGCAGTGTCCACACGAAGCAAAGCACGGCGCATCTGTGGCCATGCGCACTCGCACCAGGGTATTCTTCCCTGCTGCACTCCCTGCCCTGCTGGGGGTTGGTTGGTTGAGGGGTGAATGGATGATGGGACATGCAATGCATGGCAGCTCAAATCACGGCGTATCGACAGCCATGCGCGCTCGCACCAGGGCACTTGCATTCTTCCCTGCTGCACCCACTGCCCTGATGGGATTTGAATGGGGTGTTTGAACAATGTGTGATGCAGAGTCCACACAGCACACCACATCCATTGCCATGCACACTCGCACCGGAGCACTCTGGCCAGCTGTTCCCACTGCCCAGCTGGGGTTGGTTGGTTGGGGGATGAATGGATGATGGGACATGCAACGTAGGGCAAAGCAAAGCAAGCAGAGCGCATCCATTGCCATGCGCACTTGCACTGAGGCACTCTGCCTGCCACCAACCAATGTGGCCCGCGCAAGGGTATAACCCCTGGCCCCGCATCCTCCACTGTCCCCGCTGCCCCTCCAGCTCCTGACGTGCCAGCTCCATGGTTGAGTCATAAAGACGATTGGCAGTGAGGTGTGGGCTGTTATAGTCAAGAGTCCACTTAGAGGTCGCGGATGCCCATGAAACCGCCTAAGCAGAATCTGGCGTCTTCAAACCGCCTCTGTTCAAAACGCCGTCACGATCAGCTCCGATAACACATGAGGCTGAAACTTAGACAGCAGTTAGCCTTAAGTGTCTGCTTTCCAACGGTGTATTGCTTGCTTTCACCAGAGGTGTATGCGCTACGCTGTGAACGAAAACGTAAGCTCGGCTGAAAAACCTGTATTCTCATTGATGCAAGGAAGAGGTGAGGTACAACATTGCCTAAGGGAACTCTTAAGGGCAAAGGATTGCCACACCGAATTTCAGACCAATCAGAGCTCGGTAGACGAGTCAGAAGCCGAAATGGTGAACTCGGGTGTTACCAAAAAGGAGTAACACACACTTCCCGGATGCCATAAGTCTTGAAACATAAAATGTTGTCATGCCTTGGTAACTGCTTTAAAAACTCTGAAACTTTGATGGTTTGAAGAACACATGTTGAAAAACCTCCCCACAAAATTCCAGAAGCTGAGCATGCTTGTAGGCCGAATGGGAGTGCGATGACCGTGCCACTGTAATGTGTTGGCACAACAAACTCCCCCTCATCGTGCTCTCATTCATCCTTTAGCTGCTCCCTGAAGCTGCCTCCCTTAGTTGAAGGACATGCCACACAAGGTGGAACAGGTCCAATGCTGATGCTTTGCAAGCCTCTTGGTCAAGAAATCTGCAGGTTGCTTGGTAGTGTTGATGTAGTGCAAGGAGACCGTGCTCTTCTTCACCTCCTTCCTCACCCAATGCCATTTGATATGCATGTGCTTGTTCAGCCCATGGAGCACAGCATTGCGAGCCATTGCAATTGCTCCTTGGCTGTCACAAAACACAGGTGTAGGACCCTCTTGCTCCTGCCCCAACTCCTCAAGCAACCTCCTTATCCAAACCACCTTCTTTACCCCATGAAACAACGCCATGTACTCGCTCTCCGTTGATGAGTGAGCTATCTCCCCTTGCTTCTTAGACTTCCAGCTCACTGGACTCCCTCCAACACAGCATACATAGCCACCATGGGATGTTGCATCACTAATGTCACTTGCCCAGGTAGCATCGGTGAAGCACGATAGGTACAAGTGTCAACGCCTTGCAGGTGCACCGGTCTTCGTGCTCACCTCCTCCACTCCCTTTTGCTTCAGCTGCCCATGCATTGAATATTGCAGCCCCACCCTTGAGGTTGCCATGCAGTACCTCACCAGCCTCTCTGCTACATCAAGGTGCTCTTGAAGGGGCCTAGACACCATACGAGCCAGCTGCAAAACCGCGAATGAAATATCGGGGCGAGTGTTGACCGAAGCATACATCAAGCTCCCCACCATTGACTGGAACCGACGCTGCAACTCGGGCTCCAACACCTCACCCTCCTCTTCATCAATGTGTAGCTGAAACCTTGAGGGTAGAGGATACTTCACACTCCTCTCTTCCTCCAGCCCATACCTCTCCCCCATGGCTGCAAGGTACTTGTGTTGGTGAAGCCTCAACCATCCCTTCACCTCGTCCCGTTCTACGTGAAGACCAAGGTAATACCCCACCGGTCCAAGGGCCTTGCATTGAAAGGTCTCCTTCAGCTTCCCTTGCACCTCCTTGATCCTCTCTAGAGATGGAGAGAAGAGGAGAATGTCATCGACATAGACAAGGAGAAACACCTTCTCCTCCTCCCCCTCGGTCATGAAGAGACTCTCGCCGCACCCGTTGACTTTGAAGCCAAGAGCCTCCAACGCCTCCATCAGCCTTGCATACCAGCACCTTGGAGCTTGTTTGAGACCATAGATGGCCTTGTTGAGCCTGCAAACACGTCCGCTCCCATCGTCGTACCCCTCTGGCTGCTTCATGTAGATCTCCTCATCTACCACGCCATAGAGGAAAGCCGTCTTCACATCCATTTGCTCCACCTTCCAACCACAAACAGCAGCTGCTGCTAGGGATGAGCATAGTCGACCCGACCCGGGTTTTGACCCGGGTCGGGTCAGGAGTTCTGAACCACTGACCAGGCCGGGTCGGGTCGGGTATACCCGGCCGGCTCGGGTCGACCCGTGACCCGATTCCGGGTCGGGTCGGGTCGGGTCGGGTTTTGACCCGATTATGGACTCGACCCGGTTTCGGGTACCGCGCCCTATCTCGGGTTGGGTATCTGGCCCGACCCGAGGGTTTCCTCTCGACAATGTTATCCAGATCGCAATCGCGCTTGCTTGATTTCCCAACAACTAGCATTTCGATCTGGATTAAGTTAGGTTAACTAGCTAGTGACGCCAGCAGCCACCCACCAAGCAACATTGGCGTACTAATCTACCCTAGAACCCACGATAATGTTTAGTTAGTACTCAGCCAATCGCACTTCGCACTTCACGCCATCCATCCTAGGGTTTCTTTTAAATCTGAAATTCACAGGTCGCGCTCCCACCCTAGGCGCGCGCATTGCAGGCCCGCGTTTTAGGGCATCTTTGCGCGCCGTGCAGGCGCAGGTCGCTAGACCCGCGCCCCTACACATTATTAAGGAGAACCTCTAACCCTGCCTATGGGAGTCGGCCCGACCCGACCCGACCCGGCCCCGACCCGACCCGACCCAGGGGCGGGTCAAGCCTGACCCGGCACCTGATACCCGGGTCGGGCCAGAGATCTCAAAAGTTCCGACCCGACCCGACCCGACCCGGAACCCGGCTGGCCCGCCAAAGTCGGGTCGGGTCGGGTCGGGTCATTTGATCATACCTAGCTGCTGCTAGCAACACCCGGAGCGTAGGAGCCTTGGCAACAGGAGCAAACACCTCCTTAAAGTCAACCCCCTCCCTCTGCTGGAAACCCTTGATCACAAGTCTTGTTTTGCGCCTCTCCAACTTCCCCTCCGCATCGGTCTTCACACGTAATATCCACGTGCAATCCAATGCTTTTCTTCCCGGGGGCAGATTAGTGAGGGTCCATGTTCCATTCTCCATGAGGCTCTGAAACTCATCCTCCTTTGAAGCCAACCAAGCCTCTCGATCATCTCCAGCAAGTGCTTCCTCCATTGAAGCTGGTTCATGGGGTAAGTTGACACCGAAGCAACAAATCTGCTCCATCTCTCTCTCGGCTCCCTTTTCATCATCTTCCTCCTCCTGGACCAGCAATGCCTTGGGACCCCCAAGCCTTTCATACTTGAGGAAATCTCTTGGGTGAGCAGCTCTCTTGGGCCTCTCTTTGGTTGCACCCTCTTTAGCTCCATCGCGGACAGCACCACGCTTCCCTTGGGTTGTCCGCCTTGGTGGAAGTGAAGGGGATGGTGTAGGCTGCTGCACCTCCTCCCCGGCAGCACCTCTCTTAGCTACAGGGGCCGCCTCTTGCTGCAACACTCCCTCCACCTCTGCTGCCTCCCCTTCAGCACCTCCCAAGTCATGTGACACCTCCGTTACCTCTGAAGATGAAGACAACTCGATGAGAATCAGGAGTGGGTCATTCGTTCCCACCTCTATTCCGAGCGGAATGGTGACCTTGCTCCTCCCTCGCTCCAACCACTCCTTGAACATGAGCCTCTCCATGAACTTGGCATCTCTGGTGGTGAAGATGGTATTGGCTTTTGGGTCCCACATGAGCCACCCCTTGCTCCCTTGTGCAAGTCCCAAATGAACAGCCCACACCGCCGCCGCTTGAAGCTTGTCACGCTTCTCCTTAGGGACGTGCACGAGTCCCATGCACCTGAAGACTCGAAGCATATCCACCAAGGGCTTCTTGCCTCTCCACTTCTCCATAGGGACCCAATGCTGCCCTCCCACATGAGCCAATACTCGGTTCTTGATGACGGTGGCATGGCGAATAGCGAGGGGCCAGAATCATAAGGGTAGACCCGAGTCTACCAACATCGTTCTCCCACCCTCCATGATGGTCTGGTTCGCTCTCTCTGCCACGCCATTGGATTGAGGAGTGTAGGCCGTGGTGAGCTGCTGCTTGATGCCGTGCCGCTTCGGCCAGCTCCGGAACTCCGCTCCCAAGAACTCCCCACCACGGTCGCTACGAATCGCCTTCACCCGCTTGCCGCTCTCTCGCTCCACCAAGGGCAGCTACTCTTCAATGATGATCCTTGCAGCATCACTTTTCTTTGCAAGTGGAAAGGACCAGGTGAGCCTTGTGTTGTCATCCATCATGGTCATGGAATACAGGGCCCCATCATCTCCCTTCACTTTCATGGGTCCCACGAGATCCACATGCACGAGCTCCACCGGGTCGCTCGACTTCCCCTCCACCGAATGGAAGGAAAACCGTGAAAACTTGCTGGTCAAGCAAGTCTCACAAGATCCCACCTCCTTGGGCTCCCCCTTTATCCTCAGCCCCTTGACTTTTTCCTCCTTGAACAGCTGCTGCAACTGAGGTAGCTCCACGTGGCCAAAGCGACGGTGTGCGGTGAGCCAATCCGTCTCACCCGTGCTAGGAGTTACACTTGGTAACTTAGCCCCTCCATGCCCAAGGAGCCCACCATCACTATCATCACCACCTCCTCCATTGTCCACGTGGTTAACACGCCCTCCTCTCACACC